AAACTGCACTGAAGCCCCTACAGGAGAAATTGAAGACTTTTAAAGACTGTAAACTGAACTGGAGTCAGACTGCAGAACATATAAAGGTTAGAATCAATAACATGGTTTTGATATTAGAGTTATATTTTGCATTACTGCATAATCAGTTATATTTCATTGGATTTCCTCTTCACTGCAGATTCAGGCCCAACACACAGAGAGGCTGATTAAGGAGGAGTTTGAGAAGCTTCACCAGTTTCTACGAGATGAAGAGGCAGCCAGGATAGCTGAACTGAGAGAGGAAGAGGAGCAGAAGAGTCAGATGATGAAGAAGAAGTTTGAGAAGCTGAGCAGAGACATAGCATCTCTTTCAGACACAATCAGGGCCGTAGAAGAGGAGATGAGAGCTGAAGACATCTCGTTCTTACAAGTGAGGATCATTTATTCAGTATTTATACTGTGAGACAGTAAAACTTCTTTCCATCATCATACACAATATTGCCAAAAGTATTGGGACACCCCTCCAAATCATTGAATTCAGGTGTTCCAATCACTTCCATGGCCACAGGTGTATAAAATCAAGCACCTGGGCATGCAGACTGCTTCTACAAATATTTGTGAAAGAATGGGTCGCTCTCAGGAGCTCAGTGAGCTTCAAGCGTGGTACCATGAGAGGTTGCCACCTGTGCAATAAGTCAATTCGTGAAATTTCCTCACTACTAAATATTCCACGGTCAGCTGTTAGTGGTGTTATAACAAAGTGGAAGCAATTGGGAACAACAGCGACTCAGCCACGGAGTGGTAGGCCACGTAAAATCACAGAGCGGGTCAGCGCATGCTGAGGTGCACAGTGCGCAGAAGTCGCCAACTTTCTGCAGAGTCAATAGCTACAGACCTCCAAACTTCATGTGGCCTTCAGATTAGCTCAAAAACAGTGCGTAGAGAGCTTCATGGAATGGGTTTCCATGGCCGAGCAGCTGCATCCAAGCCACACATCACCAAGTGCAATGCAAAGCGTCGGATGCAGTGGTGTAAAGCACTGGACTCAGTGGAGACGTGTTCTCTGGAGTGACGAATCATGCTTCTCTGTCTGGGATCTATGGGCGAGTCTGGGTTTGGCGGTTGCCAGGAGAAAGGTACTTGCCTGATTGCATTGTGCCAAGTGTAACGTTTGGTGGAGGGGGATTATGGTGTGGGGTTGTTTTTCAGGAGTTGGGCTCGGCCCCTTAGTTCCAGTGAAAGGAACTCTTATTGCTTCAGCATACCAAAACATTTTGGACAATTCCATGCTCCCAACCTTGTGGGAACAGTTTGGAGCGGGCCCCTTCCTGTTCCAACATGACTGTGCACCAGTGCACAAAGCAAGGTCCATAAAGACATGGATGAGTGAGTTTGATGTGGAGGAACTTGACTGGCCTGCACAGAGTCCTGACCTGAACCCGATAGAACACCTTTGGGATGAATTAGAGCGGAGACTGCGAGCCAGGCCTTCTCGTCCAACATCAGTGCCTGACCTCACAAATGCGCTTCTAGAAGAATGGTCAAACATTCAAATAAACACACTCCTAAACCTTGTGGACAGCCTTCCCAGAAGAGCTGAAGCTGTTATAGCTGCAAAGGGCCGACTCCATATTAAACCCTACGGATTAAGAATGGGACGTCATTAAAGTTCATGTGCATGTAAAGGCAGCCGTTCCAAAACTTTTGGCAATATTGTGTATTTCAGTTATGTAAAAAATGTAAATCAGGTCCACTGATATTTGCTTTGTTGTTTTACAGAACTACAAGGCCACAGTGAAAAGGTGAGTGATGTGCTTCCCGTCTCTGTCGTTCTCTGTGTTTCTGACTCCAAACCCACAGCAGCACTGACTCCTGAATGTTTTTGCAGAGCTCAGAGCACACTGCAGCATCCAGAGGAGCTTTCAGGAGCACTGATCCATGTGGCAAAACATCTGGCCAACCTGAAGTTCAGAGTCTGGGAGAAGATGCAGGATGTTGTCCAATACAGTAAGAAACTTACTGTCTTTCTTTCTTTGAGTGTGTGCATGTGTGTGTGTGTTTATTTATGTATGTATTGTACAATTTTTTTCTGTTTTCTTTTGGTTTTCTTTCTTTCTTTGAATGTGTGTGTTTGTGTGTGTGTTTTAATGTATGTATTGTACATTATTTGTTTTTTCCTGTTTTTCTCAGCACCTGTAACTCTGGACCCCAACACTGCTCATCCCAAACTCATTGTGTCTGATGAGCTGACCAGCGTGAGATTCACTGAGGAAGAACAGAAGCTTCTTGATAATCCAGAGAGATTTGATGTGTGTCCTTTTATCCTGGGCTCTGAGGTCTTTAACTCAGGGACACACTGCTGGGACATTGAAGTTGGAGACTGTACAAAGTGGTCACTGGGTGTGATGACAGAATCTGCTCAAAGGAAGGGAAATGTATCCTCCAGAAGTGGAAACTGGTGTGTGTGGAATAATGATGGTAAATATAGAGCATGTACTACACCACAGCCACACACTCTCCTCTCAGTAACACAGAAACTCCAGAGGATCAGAGTGCAGCTGGACTGGGACAGAGGAAATCTGTCGTTCTCTGAACCTCTCACTAACACACACATACACACTTTCAAACACAGATTTACTGACAAATTACTGCCATATCTAGCTGTTGGTTGTAAAAATTCTCCTCTAAAGATCCTCCCACTTCAGTGCTGTGTAAGAGTGAATCAGATCAATTAGGCCTGATATTGTTTCATTCTAAATCTTTATATTTATGCTTCTCATTTCATAACTTTCTCTTCTCTCTTTTTACTTTCCTATCTTACCTTACAATGTTTACCTTATTAATATTAGTTTTATTTCTTGTATTTTACTGTTATTAATAAGCACCAGTACACCAAGACAAATTCCTTGTACATGTAAACCCACGGTACTTGGCAATAAAGGTGATTCTGATTCTGCAAGGCGTATGTAAACTTATGACCCCCAACTGGAGATAAATAAATAAATAGTCTAACAAACTTAAAAAAATGTAATATTTTGAGTCATTTTTTTTTTAGTAATGTTTGCTAACACATCAACAACTCTGTGTTGGATGTTATCATCTTCAATTTATTACTTAAATACACAAATCCAGTTTAAAATCCTTGTTTTAATTTTATTTATATATTCACACATGGGGTTTTTATCAGAAAAGAATATTATATGTCAGAAGTGGGATTCAAACCCACGCCTCCATTCAGAGACCAGAATCCTCTTGTAATCAGGGGAAGGACTGAACCTTGAGTCTGGCGCCTTAGACCGCTCGGCCATCCTGACACTGTAGAACATGTCTTTCTCCTTTTTTCCACCAGCTTACAAACACAATATCAGACTTGACCTGAAACAGATGTAGATACATCACAGTGCACAATAGTCCTGACCTTTGGAGAAAAGGATTCTGTAACAGGTTCTGTAACTCGGCCTGTTCTTTAATAACCACAATGTCAGCTGTTTTTGTTTTTGTACGTTTTCACACTTGCCCCCAAATAATCAAAATTGATTTAGGGCTTGTTTGGAGAAGGGGTTTATCCCTGCATGTTTGTTTTCAAACAGATGTCATTAAAGCTACATTAGAACTTCTAGACTTCAGGCACAAATATATTAACAGTGATTGTGAACACTGAGTGAAAAAAAGATAAACACATCACATCTCTTGTGTGAAACATGGTGGTGGTAGTGTCATTGTCTAGACATGTATGGCTCCCAGTGTACAGTAACTGACTGACATGTGGTTTTATAGATGATACAAACAGTGCAAACTTGCCCTAATAATTAATAATTAGTTCTGGTGCCATCAGATGTCACATAATTAGCGTTGAATAGAGTTGACCTCACACACACTCACTCTCTCAGTGAGTGGGGCCAAAGCATGTGTGCCGTGTGAGCTGAACTGAACTGAACCAAGCCGCTGGAAAGCTGCCGATTTCCCATTACGTTTCATTTTGTTTTGCCTTTTTGATACCACACGGGGCACAGATAATAATGAACACTTACCCGTCATCTCGCACTGAGTCTGCTGAGTTCATGGGATGCATTTTGCTACACTGGTGCCAAAACCCTGGTAGATACAGCTCAAAGAAAGGCATCTCGTGGACATGGATTCCAGTCCTCTCGCCCAGGTTCTCCAGTCGCTGGCTTAGATCTAGGACCAACAGCATCAGACACTTGTGAATCTGCAGCAACAGCAGCAAGAGATCCTGACTAAAGTGGTGGACGGGCAAGCTGCAGACCTAGCTGCCATCCAGAGCCTGCTGACCTCTCACAGGGCCTATCACAGGAACACTGGGAACGCAGGAAAATACCTGTGATTTACCTTACAACTGGCACTATTATCAGAGAGCAGAAAATGCTGACTAGATTTTGAGAATTGAGCAGAATTAGGCAACAACATAAAGAAGTGGCAGCTCAGTGGTTAAGATGTTGGCCTACTGTTTGGAAGGTTATGAGTTCAAAACCCAGCACCACCAAACTACTTCTAGTAGGACCTTAAGCAACATCCTTACCACTCAGTTGTATAAATGTGAATTGCCCTGGATAAGGGGCCTCTACTAGATGCAAGCAATTACATGTTCATTGCTAAAGGCTAGCCAAACACAATTTGGTTCATTAAGTTGATGTCTTACTGTCATTTTTCTGAAGTTTATTAAATGAATTAGTGGAAAAACAGGACTTTTTGAAGTGTCAGATATTAATTTTTAATAACAGTGTTGCTCAGAATCTAACAAGATTTAAACAGAGCTAACACATCAGACTGTAGTGATATAAGAGATAAGAGATTTGTTTAATCAAGAAGCCTTGGGCTGGACGAGTACATGAGTACACACATTAAATTATCGGCATGCAAACCATATTGTTACCGACACACACACACACACACACACACACTGTAGGTGTGCCTTTTCCCATGTTGCCTTTGTTTCAGTCGCTCTTAATCCCCTAAGCGTACCTGGCACGTCACTACAGCGACACCGGCTCTGGCGCCGCTGGCCTCCAGTCCCACTAATCTGGAAATAAGGACATGAGACAGGAGGGTGTTACTGCGTGATATTATACTGACCACAACATGAAAAAAGGTATGATGTGTTGTTCTTTAAGGGATAACAATCATTGTGGTGTAAGAGGAATAAAACACTTTTGGATGTGCTGTTATAGGAAGATAATCAACACTAACTCTACTTTATCACACCACCATGTCACGCAATCAAGTGTTTAATTTCTTACTGATAGAATTTCATAATTCTTCCAGACTATATAATCACCAAAATTGATTAAACAAAGAGCTACGAATCACAATCCATGTGAGTAATACATCATATTTTATTATAAAATATGATTTGGTTATTTTTAGATATTTAGGGATTCTGTACAGATAACACCTTCTTTACTTGTTTGTTGATTATTTACACATTTGTAGTCTTTTGCATACATTTGCATATGGATTCAATTTATATTTAGCTTAAATTTCACCAAAATATTTGTATATCTATACATGAACTGCAATGTGGTGTTACTAAATTAACTTTTAGATTTGTCAGATAAACAGTCTAACTTGTCCATAGAAGCTCTTTTTCCCTTTTAACAATTTAAAATACCATTAAGGTGTTTTTTGCTGAAGTGAAGGCCACATTGTAACTTGAACTAAAACCAGCAAAAATGGATCAGTTCAAACCAAGAATGGTTTTATTCTTAGTAACTAACCTTTAATTGCTTGTTTGTTTATTTCAGCCATAATTCAGAGGCTTATTCATGCTCAAATCACCGTGGTGCTCCTCTATCAAGTCCTTAAAATCCCAAACGTTCTTGGATGGAATGCTGGGAATCTCCATTGATGGAAGCCAAATCAGCTCTACTAATTAACATAGCCTGGGTAAGGATTCAGAAAAGAACACAAATGCTTTCCAGTGCGCAATATACCATGGGGGGAAAAAAAGGATTATTAAGTATTAGTAAAAAAAAAAAAAAAAAAAAAAAAAAAAAAAAAAAAAAAAAAAAAAAAAAAAAAAAAAAAAAAAAAAAGCATTATGGGGAAAAAAAAGGATTTTTGCTTCCTTTAAAGCTCACTGTTAATAGGAGTCATAATTAGATGTTCTGTTTTTCAGAGTAGTGCGTAAATTACCTTCAACTAAAACACTAAGAAGATAAATATAATGTTAAATACTGTTTGTGTTCAACTGGCTTCTGTGATTTCTCAATAAAAATAATACCTTTGGTCCTGAATATTTGGAAAATGTGTGTGTGTGTGTATGTGTGTGTGTGTGTGAGAGAGACTTTATTTTCAGATCAAATATGGAATTAACAAACATGGAACAGAAACGCAGACACAGCCCGTCCAAAAGAAAAGCCCACTTGTGTAATTAAATAACTTCCCCTCATTTGTAGAACCGGAGCCAAGAGGCATGCGTGTACGCATATTTCCCAGCTCGAGCACGGATTTGCTGCTCAGTGGTTCAAGCCTCCCACTGCCTGTCTCCTACTAGTCCCGGGAATTCTGACTGAGTGGTACAGATGTCGTCGGCTCCCTCTTTAAATGGGGTCTCATGACCAAGAACCTCCTCGTTAGTCGTTACGTTCACTTCAGAAGAAACAACACAGTTTTGGAATTGTCAGTGGTACGGGTGCTGTGAATATCGCAAATCTATAGCCAGGTAAGATGCTTGAATCTGAGTTGGTGGACATCCAGGTCATGGCATTTAATTGCAGAAACAGTATGTAATAGGCTTGAATAACTCAATATATAATCCGTTAGATAAATGCGTAAAAGTGACGTCATCACATGGGCTAATGTAAAAGTTACATCGTGCCTTACCGACTGGCTGCTGGTCGAAAGCAACATTAAATATTAAATGTCAAATATAACATAACCCTGTAAGTCCTTCACTGGTGAAATTATTTTTTCTGATCTGCTTCCAGTGTTCATGCTATTTGTGAAATTAGCAAATAAACTAGGGTTGTGTTCACGGACAAGTTCATGGACTTCTGCACCAGCGTTCCAACAGTTTTCAGGAGAAAGTAGCTAATGCATACTCAAAACAGTCACCAGACACGCTCATATGGTGTCACTGATAATAATTTGCATATTCACTGAATCATCATGATCATTTGCGTACCGGCAAGCGTGTTACATGAAGAAGGAAGATTTTACTGACACTTAGAACAGAATAGTGAAGTCTTTTCTAAATTATAACATTTCTTACAGGAAGAAATCTTGTGGTCATGGCACCACAAATGAAATTAATTTCTATAAAGAACACAGACAAAATGAAGCAGTGGTAGTGAGTAGTCGAGTAACATACACCTAGGAATAACTCACTTTTCTCACATCAGTGATTAGTTGTCAAGAAAAATGGTGATCAGTGATTGGCCTTTGAGAAAAATGGTGATCTGTGATTGGTCAGGGAGAGCAATGGTGATCAGTGATTAGCTGAAGAGAACAATGGTGATCAGTGATTAGCTGAAGAGAACAATGGTGATCAGTGATTGGTCGAGGAGAACAATGGTGATCAGTGATTGGCTGTCAGGAACAATGGTGATCAGTGATTGGTCGAGGAGAACAATGGTGATCAGTGATTGGTCGAGGAGAACAATGGTGATCAGTGATTGGCTGTCAGGAACAATGGTGATCAGTGATTGGTCGAGGAGAACAATGGTGATCAGTGATTGGCTGTCAGGAACAATGGTGATCAGTGATTAGTCGAAGAGAACAGTGGTGATCAGTGATTGGCTGTCAGGAACAATGGTGATCAGTGATTAGCTGAAGAGAACAATGGTGATCAGTGATTGGTCGAGGAGAACAATGGTGATCAGTGATTGGCTGTCAGGAACAATGGTGATCAGTGATTGGCTGTCAGGAACAATGGTGATCAGTGATTGGTCGATGCGTACATTGGTGACCAAAGTCATCAAGTTGGCAACACTATTCTGCACACCCTATAAACAACTATTAATATTCTATTATAAAAAATATTTTTAAAATGTTGTGCCCAACTCTGGAAGCTGGGTGATCTGTGGTAGTAATTCACAACTGCTGTATTTCTTTGCAACTTCCTGAGACCTTAACTGAAGTCTTGGTTTTTGTACTGAATGGTACCTGATAACTATGGAAACAAAGTTGCATTGTCAAAACAGGATGTAAGTTGTGAAAAAAAAGGGAGTTTATCTTATTTCTGATTATTTCTTGGTCTTGATATTTCAATGTCTTTGTAAGAGAATTTACTTTTATTAATATGTCTGTTTGTTTCATTCCAGAACCCACTGACCGTTGTCAAGTGTTTCAGGTG